AATGCTTGTGACTACAACATAAAAGGAAAAATGTACATTGTTTCCACCTGCTTATAATTCAGAGATATAAGGCTAACAGTAATCCTTTTTGGAGAATATTTCAAGAGTTTGAAGAATCCCAATTGAAGAATATACTGAGGAGGCTCCAGGTGGATAAAACGTTCATTCAAGCGAGCCTGCAGGACTGCCATTCGTGGAAAAGGGGCCTCAGTCTAAGGCTGTTTTTCTCCACACAGTATCCTTTTTCATGGTCTTCTGGAATGTTCTTTCCACTTTGTTGCTTTTCCCTTTTGCCTTCTTAATCTTGAAAAACAGCCCCTAAAAGCTTTTGTATTACCAAATTCTGTATTATGATATTTGAGCAGTTTTTAAATGAAATAGCATACAATTTTCCATTTATATTCCCACCAAAAGATTTTGGAAATCATTATTAAATTTCATTATATGCTCACCATGTAACTGAAGCTAAAACTGTTATGTCGGCATAAGTTAGAGTGTTGATACATTTTATTTAGAACACAGTCAGTTGAAAAATAGCCTAATATAGCATAAGACAGGATCTCATGTTACTGGAACCGACCCAGAAACTGTTAATTGTGTAGCTGAAGGCCTTGAATTGATCCTTCTGTTTCTATCTCCTGAGTGCTGGGATTATAGAGTGTGCACATGTAGCTCATAACTGACTATAATTCTAGCTGCAGGGGATCGAGTGCTCTCATCACCCAAGTGCACTTTGAAAACACACCCACACACCCTTGTCCATCTCTCGTCTCTGTCTCCCCCCCCCTCACAGACACACACACACACACATACATACACACACACTTGCTTTATTAGTGATTAACTTTCGTGCTCAAGAGGCCATAAGTATGCATAACTTTAGTGTTTTGATTTTGAGACTCGGTCTCTTTGTAGCCATGGCTGTCCTGGTACTCCTGCAGAGATCAAGTTTTTCCTCAAATGCAGAGTCTCTACCTGCCTCCTGAATGCTGCTCTGCTGGCCAACACACTGGCTTATTTGCATAGCTTTAATGCAAAACATTTTTAGTATTCACAAGTGTCCTGTGTGTTGTTATTGAGGAGGGCTTGTTATTGACTAGTTATATTTAATGGTACCTTGGAGTTTTAGTTTGCTCAGTTATACAGAAACATTTATTTGGTAGAAGATTGAGTTTTAGTTTTGATCTGTGACCTCAAAATCAATATCTACCTCTACCCAGCTTCTTACCCCTCCCCCCTGCTGTGCTGGAACTCATGTAGACTATGCTGGCCTCAAACTTACAGAGATTCTCTGCATGCACCACCATGATTGATTGGAATTAGTTTTTTTTATCTGTTAAGGAACAGTGAAGGTTTTGTTGTTTAAATATAACATTTATTTATTTAATGTATATGGGTGTTTGGTGTGCTTGTATGTATATAGACTATTGACGCTTGTCTAAGACACATAAACAACGGTAAAACTTGAAACAAAAAGAAAATGGTGCCATCTTTTGGTCTCTAGTATTAGGCTGTTCCCTTTCCCTCTTCTTTCCCTAGGAATGCAGAGGCTTTTGTTTTGTAGATTTGTTTCACCTTCCTGGTCAACTTTATCTGCAACTTTTTTTGAAAGGAGTATAACAAGAAAACTCTTCTTTTGTGATAACTTAGCATCTTTCCTTGTAACTTCCAAAAACGTGTGTGTGTGTGCTCGCGTGCATGCGTGCGTGTATGCATGACATTAGGGAGAAGAGAGAGAGACCATACAAAGGACCGCTTGTGGGAGTTTTATACTGGTAATAACTATCTTTTATACAAAGCCCACTGAATGGCACTGTTGTGTTGTGTGTTTTTGAGCTTTTGGAAGTCAAAGCACTTTGTCATAGATACCCAAACTGTGCTTTCAGTATTCATTGTGAATCCTATATGACTATGAAATATTTGCTGGATTTGCCCTGTGCTCTCTGTGGTCGAACTGTAATTAGCATAGTGCTTGCTTGCTCATCTGTGCTGTCCTGCCATAGACACTTCCTAGTTATGACAGTGGTAGCAGAACTTGGGTTTGCCATAAGAAGTTGTTAGTGTGAATTTTTAAGGACCTTTGGAGACTGTCACTTGCCAGTTACCCAGTTTTGTTCTGAGTACTCTACTTCTAGTTAGTATTGTACCAAAGAGAATATGACAAAATTGATAGAATCTAGTATATAATAAAATATGATGGCTATAGATGCATAATTAGCTTTTGTTATATTTACTACAAAATGCTCTCAAAAAGAAAATCACCCGTTTTTATTATAATCACCAATTGTTTTTTTAAAAGATTTATTTATTTATTTATTTATTTTATGTATACAAATACACCATTGCTCTCTTCAGACACACCAGAAGAGGGCATCAGATCTTATTACAGATGGTTGTGAGCCACCATGTGGTTGCTGGGAATTGAACTCAGGATCTCTGGAAGAGCAGTCGGTGCTCTTAACCGCTGAGCCATCTCTCCAGCCCCATAATCACTAATTGTTAAGCAGTCGTTAACCCCAGGCTACATACATGTAGCCTCTTGCAAGGCTAATGTATGTGGTTCCTGTTAGAAGTAATAATCCTTACCTTGAACTGTGACCACAAGAGGGTGGGGACTGCAGATTTAGGTTACGTGGCAGGACTGCTTTTACGGTATTCACATGTGTGTTTCTGTGAGTGTTTACAGTGTATAAATACCAAGTATATGAAAGATGTAGGGAGGAACGGCTGGAGTGTTGTTGGATCCTGTCAGGATGCCCTCAGCAGTGACATTTTCCATGTCTCACCATTATCTCCCAGTTCCATACTATATGCAAGCCCAACGGTGGGACTTTTCAGTGAGATAGGTTTGTTTAAAGCAGGGCTGTGAGGGTAACATAGAAGCAAATAGAAGCAGTTGTTGAGAATATGTCTGTTTCAGAAAGTTTTAGGTTTTTATGTGGCTTTTACCTTGGTTTTTATTTGTTTGCTTTTTAAAATTGTTTCTTGATACTTGGGATTGAACCCAGGGCTTAATACATGCTAAGTGAATGTTTGATCACTGAGCTATATTCCTGGCCTTTTTTATTTTTTTCCCCTTGTCTTGGCTACTTCTCTTGTGTAGACTGCCTCCAGTTGCTAGAGACACTGTTCTTGAGATAATCTTGGAAAGCCCATACATAAATGCAGCTTCTAAGATACACTGACTAGCTCCCATTTTAGGGTGCTTGAGAAATTCATCTAATCTCTCTATTTCACTGCTTGATATTAGAGGTGTGCGAGGTAATACCTTTTTATTTTTATCGGTGTCGTGGTGACATTTTTCTTTAACCTTTGAAAAGGAAAGCCAGAGGGTTTTTGTTTGTTTTGTTTTTAATCTGTGTATGATTATGTTTCCTAGGGACTAGCGAGATGAAAATCTGTTTTTTTGTTTGTTTGTTTTAAAAGAATGATTTGAAGTACAGAAAGTAAGATTCAGGTTAAAGTGGCCACTGTGTTCAACATATGCAACTTTTTATATAAAAATATTTGTAAGTGCTTGGAGAGATGGTTCAAGAGATGTTTCAATGGTTAAGAGCACGGGCTGCCCAGAAGATTCAGGTTAAATCCTCAATACCCACATGCTCACAACTGTCTGTAACTCCTTTTCTAGGGGATCTGACTCCCTCATAACACCAATGTACATAAAAAAATTACCAAAATATTTTTAGGCTTATGTGTATGAATGTTTTGCCTGCATGTATGCATACATGTATATATATATGTACCACATCTTTACCTGGTACCCACATAGGTCCTGGGATTGAACCTGGCTCAAAAGCAACAAATGCTCTAATTAGCTAAACCATCTCTCCAGACCTGTTTGAGACAGAGGTAGGGTGTGAGGCCACAGTTAAATCTCTATTGTATATACTAACAGTAAGAATAGTTGCAGTGGTAGTTTTAAGGTGATGGCACCTTCTGTTGTCTCTTGATAAATATGGCTGTAGTTCAAGGTCTGTATTATTTGTTAGATATCACCTAGTGATGTGAACTTGGCTGTTGATGGGTCCTGTAGAAAGAGTAGGTGGTTGGAAGCTGTGTTATGGAAACAGGACTGTTCAGCAGTTTGTCTCTGGAAGGATGCCTTTTGAGGCTCTTTACCCTCAGGCTATCAGCTTCCTCTTTCTTTATCACTCTTTAGGATGAAGTGTTCCTGTCCCTTGCATAGTCAATATTTATTAAATGAGTAGGTGAATCACTGACTGTGAATATTCTATATTAATTAATGCATTCATGGGGTCATTTTCGTGGGAAGTGTTTTACAATTTTCTCTCTTTCCTGTAAATTAAAATTTTGTGTGCAAGTGCAGATGCCACCAGCGTAGAGAGTCAGAGGACAGTTTGTAGGTCCTAGGGATTAGATTCAGGTTGTTAGACTTGAGTTAGGAACCTTGCTGGTTTAGTAGAAATTTGTCAATAGCTGCACTTCTCTTCTTTTCACTGCCCAAGAAGAATAAGATTAGGAGACCCTGAAACTCTCAAAGTCAGGCATTTTTTCTAATTCATCTATTCAGAAGAGCTGCTATTTTAGGAACATATGCAAAATCATTTTTCTAGAGACTTTTCTCATCTTCTCCAAGGCATGACTGGGTAAGAACTCAGTACTTGTTGGGTCTTAAAAGACCTTTGGGTAGACTCTAGCCCTCGGGATCATGTGGAAGTCACTTTGCAGTGTTTTTACCTGACTTTAAGGTATACCTTTAATCACTCTGTGCTGTAACACACTTGCTGGTTGCTATTAAGAATTTTTCATATGTGTGTATATCAGGAGTTTAGGGAACATGAGACATAGGACCAGTCTATGGAGAGGTAATTGAGGTAAGAGAGAATGGATAGACTGAAGTATTATTCCTCCAGAGAGTGGAACAGGCATCCTGTTTTGTCAACTATCATGTGTAACAGAGGCTAATGAAATTGTTAAGAGATTTCAAACATTTCACAGGACAGTTGTCTGACTATAACATCTTTCTCTTGCCTCAGCTTTTCCAAAGACCCAATGCACTTGCTGTTCAGCAGTTGACAGCTGCCCAGCAGCAGCAGTATGCACTTGCAGCAGCCCACCAGCCTCACATCGGTAAGTCCTTTAAGCCCGTGTCTCTTTCTATTTAGGAGAGGTAGATGCTGGGAAAACTTATATCTAATATCTAATAACTAATATCAAAGTCTATCCTAACACTTGGGAGACAGAGTTTAGAGGATGCTGTGAGTTCCAGGCCAATCTGATCTGTACAATACATAATACATTTGGGGTGAGCCTGGATTATATAGTGATTCCTTGTGTCAAGGCAAGGGTGGATGGAATTCAGACAAATGCCTGGTACAGAATAAGCGGCCTCTTTCTTGTATCCAGTTATTTTTTGCCCCATATTTTATTTTTGATGCGCTAGACCTGAACTCAGAATACTTCTCTAGAATCTATCCACCCCCTTCAGGATTTAAATAATTTACTAGAGAAATGACTACTGATACTTCTTGGTAAGATTTCAGGCCACATTGCTGGGTGTGGTGATGCACACATCTCCAGAACTTGGGAGACAGAGGCAGGAGGACCTCTATGAGTTCAAAGCCAGCATGGTTTACATACAATATAGTGAGTTCCAAGCCAGCCAGGGCTACTTCCATACCTGTGTTTAGGTTGTTGCAGTCATGAATAGATGAATCAGCTTCTCAGCTTATTGAACAGCAGATAGTGCTTTTTTTCCTTTAAGATCCATCTTTTCTTCCTCTTCTTGGGATGAGTTTGGCAGGCATTTTACTCTTCACTTTGACCTTGGACCTCTAGTTTTAGATATCTGAGACAGGATCATGGTGTAGTCTCAGCTGACCTTAAACTCATGTCAGTTCTCCTGCCTCATCCTCCCAAGTATTGATATCACAGATGTGACTGCTATGCCTGGCAGCCCTCCCACACCTTCTTAAGGGTTCTTCAAAACAAAATACCCTGACTGTAACTAAGTGGGAGGAGTGATTTCTTTAATTCTTGCTTTAAAAGTAACAGAAATGAACAGAAAGGCCATGGCAGTACTGCATGTGGTATACAAGGAAGAAGGTTGTTGAATTCCACCCTAGTTGCAACAAAGACCCTGCCAGTGCTGTTCTCATGTAAATTGTCATTATTACCAAAACTGTTTTGAAACGTTTTTAATAAAGAGAATTCCTCATTTAATAAGAGTATTTGAAACAATTTTAATAGTAAAATTGTAAATTAATATGATTTCAAGACTTGGAGATGGCGCCGGGTGGTGGTGGTGCACACCTTTAATCCCAGCACTTGGGAGGCAGAGGCAGGCGGATTTCTGAGTTCGAGGCCAGCCTGGTCTACAGAGTGAGTTCCAGCCAGGGCTACACAGAGAAACCCTGCCTCGAAAAACCAAAAAAAAAAAAAAAAAAGACTTGGAGATGGAACTCAGTGTATACACAGTGGATTCAGTGTCTCCAGCAATACAAACAGTAAAATTAATTCCTAAGAGTCTGTCTAGCTGTATTTAAAACTGTAAAAGGGCCAGGTAAATGGATTCAGTGTCTCCAGCAATACAAACAGTAAAATTAATTCCTAAGAGTCTGTCTAGCTGTATTTAAAACTGTAACAGGGCCAGGTAAATCTTGGAGGTAGATGGATTGCCTAGCATTCAGGAGACTGGGGTTTGATCTTAGCAAGGAAGCAATACAAAAATGATATATAAATGATTTGTTGCAAACATTTCTTTCGTAAAGATGGGAGAGGTTGCCCAAAATGGTCTAAACTGGGCATTGTAGTCTTAGCACTTTGAAGACTGAGGCAGGAGGATTCAAGGGAAGTAAGTTCAAGGACAGAGTAAGATACATAGTGAGACTCCCACTTCATAGAGCCGACCAGGACTGGGGTGAAGCTTGGTAGGTAAGAATATTTGCTAGGCAAGCAAGAAGACCTGAGTTGAAATGTTCAGTACTCACCTGTTGGCAAGGATATCCTAGCTTTGGGGAGGAGCTTGCTGGCCTATCTGTGTGGCTAAAATGCCAAGCCTCATGTGCAGCAAGACAACTTGTCTTAAAAAAAAATAAGGTAGAAAGCCTTAGAACTATAGGTCTCAACCTTTGGGCTCCTATACCAGATATTTTCATTATGATTCAAAATAGTAGAAGAATTACAATTATGAAATAGCAATGAAATAATTTTATGGTTTGGAGTCAACACAACATGAGAAACCGAATTAAAGGTTTGTACGTAGCATTAGGAAGGTTGAGAACCACTGCCATAGAGGAAGACAACTATTGTCTTCCTCTATCCTCTCTGTGCATACACATAGAAACACACACACACACACACACACACACACACACACACACACACAATCACTATGACTTTATTGAGGTTATATTATCTTTGTGAAATTCCTCTTTACTTTCAGCCTGTTTTCTCTTCCCTTTTGTTCCCTTCATCTATAGCCTGGAATGCTAGCCAAACTAGAGAGGTGTGTAGTAGGGCTGCAGTTTGGTCGTTTGTTTTTACTGACAGGTATGTTTCCAGCAGGTTTAGCTCCCGCTGCGTTTGTCCCCAACCCATACATCATCAGCGCTGCTCCCCCAGGGACGGACCCCTACACAGCTGGATTGGCTGCAGCAGCGACACTCGGTGAGACATGTGCTGCATGAGGGATTTGCTCACCTGCTAGAAAAGTCCTTCGAAATGGGCATGCCTTCTTTCTACTCTGCCAAATCCATGTCTCCAATCAAGTGTCTCCTGATTTTAGTGCCAGTCTCTTGTCAGTCATAATTCTCTGCTTAGCTATTGTCCCGTTCTGCCTAGGAAAATAAGGTGGTCACTTATTCTGTCCCACAGTAGCTTGGGTCCACCGAATTGCTTTTTGATAGTACAGGGTAGTTGCTCAGCTTTTTCTGCTGGTTTCATAGGGAGCTCACTGCTTTCTTACCTTCATGACTTTGTGGCTTTCCCTTCCTCTGGTCCCCTAAATTGCATAGCTTTTGAGCATAAATCTTAACACTTCTCCCTTGGATTCCTCGTCTCCCTGCTCTGAAATGTGGCATGGTACTGTTACTGTCATTGTTATTGTTATGCTCATCATCAGAGCCTTAGGAGAAGATGATGGTTGGTCCTTGGGATTAGTACCACAGAGGAGCTCTAGTGTTGGAAGTTTGAAGATTGGCTGAGGCTGGTTCATTGTATATCATCCACTCTCTCTCCATGACTTGGGTGTGAAGCTGACCAATTCACCACGCTTTTTTCCTTGAATGGTCACGTTGGCTCACACCATACACTACAGCCAGCCCCATCTGACTTCAGGTTCCTTACTGCACGGACTTGGGCCTTTGTCTCTGGATATTAATCATGGTTTGTGCCTGGGATGATCTGACTGTAGTCTGGATTACCTGTTGTTTCTCTTGTTGACAACTGTCGGTTTTATTTGCTTGTGGATGGATCCACAATGGTCTTTTCCCTTCCCGAATTTTGATTTTTTTTTTCCTTTGACTCTGTAGCACAGTTGCTATCTCAGAGGGGCCATAAATGTTAAGTGGCTTCATTTCAATATGAGGACAAGGACAACAAATAACCTCTGAAACTTTTAGGATGCACACCCATTAAGTTACACTCGTTTCAACTTAGTTTCAATGTAAGATTTCAGTGACTGTTCTGCAGTCCATTTACCTCTGGTGTGGTTCTCAGTGATGATGTAGGTTTTCTCCAGAATTGCTTCCCTGATTTGGATGGCAGCCCTGTCAGTAGTATGACCTTGCCTGGCCACCACTGCTGTTTGCCACACCCAAGTGCTATGCACTGTCCTTAGTGCTGTTGTTCTGAGTTTTTCATCATTAGAACGATGAATGTATAGTTAATGAGATGATAGGTTGTTTGCACATTATCTAGACTACAGATGATTTAAATAGTCTGCCAAGTGACCAAGAGACATTACATACCCAAACCATGTTAAGAAGGATTTTGTTAACATGGAAATTGAACCAGGAGTTCTGTTTAGCCAATTTCAGTGAAGCACTCTGGGGAGTTTAATTTTGACCCCATGACCAAGGTCCAAGTAGTAGAAGTACCTGCTCAAGAATTTGAAGGCAAAGAGTAAGTATTTAGGGTGCTGTCTGTCCTTGCAGGTCACACCCATCTTCTCAAAATCCAAAGGGCCACACTGTTAACCTGGTCCACCTGCTATGTGAACAAGAAACCCAGGCACTAGGACAGTTTCCTTTAGTACCCTTTTCCCCTCCCCGCACCGCCTTGTGGCTTTCTTTACCTTACTAGTCTATGGCCACTTGTCAGATGAGTTTGGAGACTTGTCGTTTTCTTTAACGTGGAGAGCAGGCTCTTGACTTGTTTAGGTTCTGAAGTCAACAAGACACTTGAATCCATATCTTTACCGTAAGAAGATGGTCTGTATTTTAACACATTTCCTCAACAACACTGTGGGCATTCTTGGTCATGGTGAGCCATAGGCATCAAACAGCAACCACCTAGAAATACTGGAGCCTATTGTTAGGCAGTGATGCAGTCTGACTGGCCTGTGGTGTAGAACCTTGTGAGTGTATGCTGGTGTATTTTGGTTTAATGAGAAGCAGTTCTTGCCAGCACAGCTGTACTGTTGGGAACATCTTGGAGCATAAATGGAAGGCTGCCCACTGTCAGTCATGCTGCACGTGCTTAGCTTTGTGCTGTGACTGAGAAGGAAGGTGTGTTTCACCAGATTCCAGGAGCTCTTTGAACACTTTCTTACTTTGTCCTTCTTGGGTAAGTTTGTTAATTATGTAAAATACACTAAAACTATTTATTCTTAGAACCCTGTCACTGTCTTGAGGATGAAATCACATCTTTTTTGTTTTTTTGGTACCAACTTCAGCATAGAATTTTGACCTAGACTTTGGCCCCCCTGGCTACTCTGAGTCACCTTATTATGTTCAGATTTGCTGCTTTGCCTTATGTGGCGGACTTTGGAGCTGTCACTTATCAACAAAGAAGGTGAACAGTTGGCTTGGAGCAGAGTGTTGAGTTTCTGTGTGAGTCAGGGTTAAGGTGCATTGTGCTTTTGTCAATAGCAGTTGGCTTGAAATGTGAGACTTGATATAACAGTATATGAGTGTGTGGTTGTAGTGAATAACTTTTGTGACTTTAAACATGGAAAAAATTAGTCAAATTGTATGTGGAGGTCTGGTTATGAGAAGGGTCATAGATTGCATCTGGGGTTAGTGATGCAGAGTCTTGGTAGGCTCAGCTAGTCCTCAGGTGACTGGTGAAGGCAGAACACAGATGGAATTTGTTCTTTTCCTTTCTGTTTAAGCTCATGCACCTTCTGTGTGTTTCTCTTTCACCGCAAAGTTTGTCTGATGTCTGTCATGCATCTTTTCTCTCATGGGGTAAACATTACTTCGTCTGAGTATGCTGGTTCACGCCTATAATCCAGCACTCAGGAGGCTAAGGAAGGGTTCTAGTTTGAAGCCAGACTGGGCTACATAGCACCACCTTGTCTGACAAACAGATCTATGTCTCAGCGGCTTCTCCTGTTTCTAAGTCCCATTTCTTGAGTTCCCCTCCCAGCCTCTTTTCAGTAGCTTTATCACCTTACCCATGCGTGTCTGCCTGTAGTGCAACCTGGCTTCAGAAGACCCTGCCACGAGGATCGAATACCATCAGTCTTAGGCCCTCCCTCCTCTCTCGTTAATACTAGCTAGCATAAATCTTCGTGTTCTTTAATATTTTTTGGATCTCACCATTCAAGATCTGGATTCTAAGATCATGTTTTTTAAACTTCTCTTACCTTTCTCTGGTTCCTTTTAGGCCCAGCTGTGGTTCCTCACCAGTATTATGGAGTCACACCATGGGGTGTCTATCCTGCCAGTCTTTTCCAGCAGCAAGCTGCTGCAGCTGCAGCAGCCACAAACTCTGCTACTCAGCAGAGTGCTCCTCAGGCCCAGCAGGGACAGCAGCAGGTAAAGTCGCTCTGTGAGGGTGGGCGGTGTGTGGTGTGTCCCACTGACAGACCAGTGAGTGCCTGTGAGTGCATCTGTGTGCAAGTGACTCACAGCTGATATTGATGGCTTCATAAAACACGGGGTGCCTCTGTGTGTGTGCGTGCGTGTGTCTGTCACAGCTGATGTTGCTCTTCGTCACAAAATGCTGAGTGCCTTTGTGCGCATGTCCACATGTCTGCTCCCGTGCTCACTCAGTTGACTATTAGTGTTGTGGAGTGTTACACGGGCCAGAGATTATTAGCCTCTGCTGTCATTCTTCAGGAGCCAACCACCTTGTTTGTTGAGACAAGTATCTCTCACCCATACCTGGCACTCACCAATTAGGCTGGACTATCCAGCCAGTGAGCCAGGAATCCTCTGTCTCTTCTTCTCTTGACACTGGGATGATAAGTCCATGACCATTATGTCAGTGCTGGGCTTTGAGTTCTGGTTCACATGCTTGGGCAGCAAACTTAATGACTTTTGTCAAAAATGCGCCCCCCTCTTTTTTTTTTTTTTTTTTTTTTTTTTGAGACAAGGTCTCACTGTGTAGCACTAGATTATCTTGGAACTCACTGTGTAGACCAGGCCGTTTTCTGAACTCAGAGATCTGTCTGCCCCTGCTTCCTGAGTGCTGGGATTAAAGGTGTGAATCACCATGCCCTGCAAGAATGTCAGGGGAGGGTTACAGGACAGCTAGGGCTACACAGAAACTGTCACACGCACCCACAATTAAGAGGGCTTAGGTTCTAAAGGGTAGAGTTTATGATGGCTGAGGGGAAGGTAGTAGTAACAGCTAAGAGAGAGGGCAGGGAGAAAAAGTGTTAGTCCACATCTCATACCACAAGTGGGAACCAAAGAGCATACTGGGAAACTCCAAGCTCACTCTTACTGGCCTACTTCTCCAACAAGGCCACACCTCTTAATTATTCTCAAACATATTTTTGCCACCTGGAGACAAAGTAGTCAGACATGAACCTTTGGGGCCCATTTTCACTTAAAGCTCCATACAAGATTAAAAAAGAAAAAGAAAATGTTGTAGTTAAGAATTTTGTGCTTTGGTTTGGGAGTTTGCTTAGTTGGTATTAGCTCAGTGTTTTCCTAGCACGTATAAAGCCATGGGTTCCATCCCTAGCACCATGTACAACTGAGCATGGTGGCATGCCTAGTGGAGGTAGGGTGATAAATAGTTCAGAATTTCCCTGAGTTACACACTGAGTTTGGAGGTGGCTGTGTAGCATGTACAGATACTTCTACACTCGGTTCTGAGACTGCCCCATCTGGGCTGATCCTCCTAGTCCTTTGTAGTCTTTTGTCACCTACGTGACAGAACTCTGACATTGCACTGTGTTTCCTTCCTTCAATTTATTTACTTTTATTATATGTACAAGAGTGTTATGCCTCCATGTATGTATGCACATGTGTCCCCTGGTATCTGCAAGGCCAGAAGAGGGCATTGGCTCTGCTGGAACTGGAGTTGCAGGCAATTGTGAGCCTCCGTGTGGGTGCTGAGAACACAACCTGGGTCCTTAATTAAGAGTTCTTACTGTTAAGCTAAGCTATCTCTCCAGCCCTGTTACTATATCTTCCTTATTGACTAGAGTGCACATAGTTTGCCAGTCTTCTTTATAGTTCTTATTGTCTGAACTATTTGATTAAAGAGCAATGCTATATTCCAGTTTTTCTCTTTTGTTTCTCTGTCTGTCTTCGCCCCCATGCCTCTCTGTCTCTGTCTCCCCCACCCACCCACCCCCCTCTCTAAGACAAGGTTTCTCTGTTTACGTCTGCCTCACTCATGCTGGGATTAAAGCTATGTGCCACCACCGTCTGGCATAATCTACTTTTTCTAAAGGTTGTACTTACAACAAAGTATACTAAAATGGACTTTTACCATATGATGGGATGAATTGAATTTTTACCCTAGTAGTCATTCCATGTGATGAAACCATTATAATAAACATTTTATTCCTGGCAGTGGTGGCTCATACCTTTAATCTCAGGACAGAGCAGGTGGATCTCTGAGTTTGAGGTCTACAGAGTGAGTTCCAGAACAGCCAGGGCTACGCAGAAAAAACCTACTTTGGTTGGAAAAACCAAAAAGGAAAAAAGGCACCATTTTATTTTTGCTCTCCTTTAAAATACTGACTCTAGTAGAGCATGTGGTGTGTCCTCTGTAACTCCTGTGAGACAGCATTTCTGTTTCTTATTCCTAGGTTCTTCGTGGAGGAGCTAGCCAGCGTCCTTTGACTCCAAATCAGAACCAGCAGGGACAACAAGCAGATCCCCTTGTAGCAGCGGCAGCAGTGAACTCTGCACTCGCCTTTGGACAAGGATTGGCTGCAGGCATGCCAGGTAAGATTTGCACTGATGTTCCTAATAATTTTGTGGGGTCAAAAAGTATGAATTGAGGGAGTGTTTTTGGCTTAGGACTGCGGACTGGCAGGGATGATCCCTACTTGCCCTCACTTAGACCAGAGGTCTCTGACGAGAGCTGTGTTCTGAGCCAGCCGTTGGTTGTGGTCATCTGAACACATGACGGAAATGTGTGTCTGTATATGTGAGAAGGTGAGCTTCGCTTTGTTGGTCTCTTTTGCCTCAGGACTTAAAGTGGACAGAGGGAACATCCTGTTTTCACAGTAGTCTTTGGTTTTGGTCAGCATTCAACCTGTGTGTTTGAGTAGCTTGACTAAGCAAAAGAATCCTTCTGTTCTCTTAATAGTTTGTATTTGTAGGATTTCTCAGTGCCATTTGGTTCCCACTGAGTTGTAAATGAATTCATGTGTCACCACTGTCTGTTGGTCTTTTCACTGCCTTGTTGTTGGACATAGATTGATGTCATGTACTTAATTGAAACTGGTCCTTAATTTTATGACACTTTCCTGTCTGAATATAGCCATTTATAAACTGAGAAGCCTCAACTTGCCTTGTGTATTTTGTTACTTAATCTCTGTGTTAGGTGTCCTATGCGTGTGCACACAATTCTTATTAAGACCTGGAGATTCTTAGTCGCAGTGAATACTTTTGTCAGTTGAACCTAGTCTGGCTCTTCTCACTGTCGTGTGGGTACTTATCCTGGTTTACTGTGTGTTTTGCAAATACTGTGGTGGTTGTACTCATGCTTCTGTTCCTTGTGTAGTAAAGAAAACAATAAATTGGTCTTGACTAGCACTTTAATGGAACGGTATTCCCTGTCCTAAATTGACCAGCAGAAGACAGTATTCCTGTCCCTTAAGTGCTGTGAGACCCTTCTTTAATTTTTCCCAAGGCCTTTTGTAGAGCTGATAATGAATGCTCAGAGATATGAGGAATTTCAGCTGTGTAAGTGACAGAGTCAGGTTGTATATCCAGGTCCCTGTAATCCCAAAGCTGGATTTGTCTCTATTTATAATATGTTGGTACCCAATATATATTTTCCTTGTATAATTCAGAAGTTTCTTTGATTATTGTGGGTTGCACGACTCATGTGTGTGACTCAGAGTGGTTAGTACTGAATTTTGTTTATACCATAAACTATGCATTCAATGCCCAGTAGGAGACTGGTATCTGTCTTACTTTTCTATTCCTGAAATAAGGCACCATGACTAAAGCAATTTACAGAATAGTGAGTTTATTTGGGGCTTACAGTTTCAGGGTGTTAGAATCCATCCAAGTCCTACTGGCAGAGAACATGACAGCAGGCTTGGTGCTGGAATAGTAGCTGAGCGAGCGCTTCTGTCTTGATCCATAAGCCTGAGGCAGAGAGAGCTAAGTGGGATTGGTGTGAGCTTCTGAATCCCAAAGTCAGCTTCCTGTGATACCACCACGGAGGCCAAACTTGTAAGTATTCAAATATACTAGCCTATAGAGACCATTCTTATCCAGCCCACACCACAGCTAAGAGCTCCCGTGGACTGTAGTAACTGGAATGCTCATCAGTAGGCTCAGTAGTCAAGCACTGCAGCACCTATACTGATGCGACTGACCACTGACGGGCAGGTGGCGTTTGTAGGGAGGAGTACTGTTAAATTTCATCATGTCACTTAGAATGGCCATGTGGTTTAATACCCACAAAATCATTTGTTTGAGGAATTTCCACCTAATATGTTGCATAGTGGATAAAACCTTGGAAGTGGAGACTAACCCACATGGTTTCTACTTGTGTGCTGCTTACTCTCCCCAGGTTATCCAGTCTTGGCACCTGCTGCTTACTATGACCAAACTGGTGCCCTTGTGGTGAATGCAGGGGCAAGAAATGGCCTCGGAGCTCCAGTTCGGCTTGTTGCTCCAGCCCCAGTCATCATTAGCTCCTCAGCTGCACAAGCAGGTGAGCTTCATTTTGGAGGACGCTAGTGAGGGAGCTAAAGGGGAAGGAAGGGTGGCTGACAGTGGAGTCTTCAGACAGGCTCTAATGGTCCTTAATTAGGAAATCTATTTTTTTTTTAACCCTGTAATATTTCAAAGAGAATCAGAAGCTACAGGACAGTTAGGTAGATTCAGATTCTGTTGGTGATTGTGTGGCACCTGGTTAGATGCACAGGAAATGGCACAGCAGGCAGCATTCAAAGGCTAACATATTTTTGTTTTCCTAGCCTCCCTCTGGGTTGGGGAGGGTTGCTTTGGTATAGGGCCGGAGTAAAACTATGGGGACCCTAGAGGACAGCCATAGCAGTGCATCCATTGGTGGTGCAGAGAATTTGTCTTCTTCTTTTTTTTTTGGTTTTTCGAGACAGGGTTTCTCTGTGTAGTTCTGGCTGTCCTGGAACTCACTCTGTAGACCAGGCTGGCCTTGAACTCAGAAATCCGCCTGCCTCTGCCTCCCAAATGCTGGGATTAAAGGCGTGCACCACCACCACCCGGCGAGAATTTGTCTTCTTAAGCTCTTTTCATGAGGGTTGTTTTTTTGTTTTTTTGGTTTTTTGTTAAATATGAGAATCAGCACACACTTCTGATTCCAGTTCTTGGGAGGCAGAGGCAGGTGGATCTCTTGAGTTCATATTCCATACCAGTCAGGGTTACATAATGCAATCCTGTCCCTAAATACATGGATGCGTGAGTGGTGGATGAGAGTAGAGGGCTACTCTGCATGTTTAAGAAGAGGTTAGTGTAGGACTGAAGGACTTAGATATATGGACAAAAGAGTTTTGTGAAGAAACATCTCATGTGAGAGTAGGTGTAGAATTTGGGATTTTTAGGAAGTTGTTGTATTTAATGGATCTATATAATGCTTGAGCCACTTTTAAACTGGAGCCACTTTAAATCTGCTTCCAGCATAGAGAGCTTGTTGCGTGGAATTTTTACTTCAAGTCCATAATAGAAATAGATAGTAAAAGCTTCAGATGAAGGCATCAAAGTGGATTTGTACAGTTCTTTATAAAGTCTTTGTTCCTTGAAAAGATAATGTAGCATTAAAAGTATTTTTTTTTTTTTAAAGCGGATATAGTACAATCTGGGTATGTGGCTAGCACCTTTGTCAGCCTAATGCTGTGCTTTCTTCCTCACAGCTGTGGCAGCTGCTGCAGCTTCAGCAAATGGAGCAGCCGGTGGTCTTGCTGGAACTACAAATGGACCATTTCGACCTTTGGGCACCCAGCAGCCCCAGCCCCAGCCTCAGCAGCAGCCCAGTAACAATCTGGCTTCCAGCTCTTTCTATGGCAACAACTCTCTGAGCAGTAACTCCCAGAGCAGCTCCCTCTTCTCTCAGGGCTCTGCCCAGCCTGCCAACACGTCCTTGGGATTCGGAAGTAGCAGTTCCCTTGGTGCCACCCTGGGATCGGCCCTTGGAGGGTTTGGAACAGCAGGTACAAGTTAGGTTGAGAGGCTGTTAAAACAAATTTGAAAGATTTGTAATCTTTCTGGAACCCTGACAGTGCATGACATCCTGCACAGATATCACAGGCAGATGTGGACCAAGTCCCTGGCAGTCTAGCCAGCCCACCTAACCTTTGAGATGTTGGATTATAGAAATCAAGTTATGCAGCCAGGGCCTCTTTTGGGTCCATATTTCTGTTGCTACTTACTTAGGTTCACTTTGTCAGTTTGTTTCAGGTGTTGAAAACTAAAAAGAGGTTCTTCAGGCATTAGGGAGCTTGTGGAAGGGACTCTAGCAATGTAGATGTTAGGCTGAGGAAGAAGGAATCACAGAAGGTTGCACCCTGGGCGCTCCACATTCTGACCTGTGCCTGGGGCTTGGCTTGAACATCTTAAACAGACATTTTATCCAGTGTTTTGAACAGCGGTAAGGGAGATGCTGTGGAACATTGGGAGGAAGGATGCTAGACCAAAATATTTGTTTTTGATGGGAGAAGTACGCAAGAATGTAGTCTGTGGACAATGGGATACTCGGAGTGGTTATCAACAGTGTGATTTCAGAACAGAATGGCATGTCTGAGAGAAGGTGTACTAAATCAGAGTTTTAGGCTAGCAGTAGCTCCCAAAGATGACAGGCCTGCATTAGAAAGTTCCGTGGAGCGGCCAGTGCCCCGATTACACATCTTCCCCCCCCCCCCCCCCCCCCCCCCACCCCTCAACCCCCCATTCCGTTTTTCTGCTAGAACCTTTCAGCTGATGGAAGGCATTCCTTGTAGGTCATTTCCTTTCACTTTCCCCTAGCTCATTTGGCCATCAGGGCTTTTTAACCTGTCCCCATCCCATTCTGTCTGTGACACTAAAGGAAGGTAAACTTGCCATATTTGTGTGATGGCTTGAACAGCTCTGTTACCCAAGCCATGTCCTCTTTATGACTTAGCTGTCCCTAGAACTGCTACCTTAACAGTTAGGCTGTCTCTGCTGACACATTTGCGGTGGTAAGGAGTCTGGATCAAAGTGTTAGGAACAGGCCACTGGGCTTGTTCTTCAAAGAACAGGCCTGTTCTTATCTGCATTGTTTTAATTCCATTTTAGTTGCAAACTCCAACACTGGCAGTGGCTCCCGCCGTGACTCCCTGACTGGCAGCAGTGACCTTTATAAGAGGACATCGAGCAGCTTGGCCCCCATTGGACACAGTTTTTATAACAGCCTTAGCTTTTCCTCCTCTCCTGGACCCGTGGGCATGCCTCTCCCTAGTCAGGGACCAGGACATTCACAGACACCACCTCCTTCCCTCTCTTCACATGGATCCTCTTCAAGCTTAAACCTGGGTAAGAACCATTACTCTAACACCACCTTGAACGCTAGAAATCTCTTGCCACTGATGACATTTCAAGTACTTTGCATAAGCAAAGGACAGTCCCTTTATCCTAGAAGTGTCCTGGTGTTCTGTGCCTTTGATAAATTCCTCAAGTTGCTCAGGTTGTACCTGTAGCTTCATAGCAGTTGGGGATTGCCTAGCATCTGGATACACCCTGTGTATTCACTCCATCCTCAGTGTGAACATCTACTCTTGGGCAAACACAGTAAAAGTCATTGCAGGGAGGCAGAAGGACACAGAGGAAGAATAGTTACTGGCATAGCTCCTGTGATGACAGCACTCTGAACATATTGCTAAGTTTCTTTGTAGGTCTCCCCCTCCCCTTGTATAAAAGTTAGTAGCTTCACAAAGCATTTTATTGAATTTTTTTTTGCCAGATTTTAAAGTATTAATAAATACTTTTAAAAAATCCAAATCTATATAGTCTGTTAATAACTAGACAAAGGTTCCAAACAGCAGGCTTTAAGAATAATAGGAAAATTAACAGTTACAGCACTGGGCAGGGGTACAGAGTTCTTATCTAGAAACAAGGTGTGCCTCTCCCTCTCCCTCTTGTTGTCTCAGGTGTGGATTTCAAGGTACTGATTTACTTCCCAGATGGGGAAAGTTGAATTAGAGAAGTGGAGAGCACATTTTATGAGCAAATGTCGAGGTGAGAGTGTTGTTATTTTTGTGGTGGTGGCTTTAAATGAGAGGAAGAATGCGCTTGCTAGAAGACTCTGCCATCGCCTTACATGTTCAAATGTGGCTTCAGGGACTTGGCAGTGACACTGAATAAAAGCAAATAGCATGATCTCATTTGGAAAGACATGCAAACCAAGAAAAGTTTGATAAAGTCTACAATAAATAGTTATTTTAGAACAGAGTTTGAAGGCAAGTGATACATGCAGTGTGTGTGCATGGACATGTGTGTGCATGCACACATGTGTTTTCCGAAGTGGAGAAAACTTGGAAGGACGTTCTTACTGGCTGTCCACAATGGATAGATGAGTGGGTGGGGTATGTTGTGAGCAATATTTTCTATTATTAGAAAGCCTGGCTGCAGTGTAGGCTCAAGAGGGCGATAGGCTCAGAGGAGGACTGAATAGCCACTGACTGTCCTGTGATACCCTCCTCACTTTAAGACTCTTACTTTCTGCGTCTGATTTGAACAAAATTTTTTAAAATTCTAAATCATGGATTTCCAATGTATAACCTCTTTATATGATATATTCAGTATATCTTTTGAGCCAGCACATTGTACCAAAATGTATAAAGTTTTGCTGAGTTGCTTGTGTTGTGTTATTGTTGTTGGCTTATTTTGTCATTGTTTTGATTTTTAAAAAAAATTTTTTTTTAATGTTTGAGTATTTTACCTGCTTGTATGCTTGTGCACCATACATGTTTCTGGTGTCCAAAGAGGCTGAATGAGGTGAACAGATCCCCTGCAGCTGGAGGTAGGGATGGTTGTGAACCACTGTGTGGGTTCTGGTAATCCATCCTGGAGCCTCTGCAAGAGTAGCCTGTGTTCTTTTATCTGCAGAGTCATCTCCAGCCTAGCTATCTCCTAATTAAACTAGTTACAAAAAATACATAGTGGCCAGGCGGAGCCTGTGTCCTAGAGTTTAACTCTTGCACTCCTTGCAGTGGCTCTGGGTTTGCACTAGATCTGAAAGTGCTGGTGCAGGAGGCCTTTCTTTGAGTCTGTGTGCAGTCTCTGTGAGACCCCGTAGTCACCATGCATTAGAGGATTCTAAGAAAGCAATTGATCTGCTTAATACTTAATACTATGTGCCTAAGAGCCCTCAGTGACTTTTCATTGCCGTTTGTTTCAATTCAACAATTAAAGATTCAAAGTTTTATTGGCTGTAAGTTGTGTAGCTGTCAAGGTAAATCTTGTATAATGTTCACAATCTCTCATACCCATCTGCACTTCAATCTCAACTGCAGTTAATAATGATGTATTTAATTTGCATTTTATTTTCTCTATATTTGTCTATGATACATTATATGCCAGTAGGTAGTTCCTTCTTATTGAACAATTCTGTGAGCTTATCTTATTTATTACCTTTTGTCTGTCCACTCATATCTCATGGGCATTTGTTTCTGCTTGGACTGTTACTTGTACGACAGCTGTGAATTCCCTTAACCACCAAGTTTTGGTTTTTCGAGACAGGGTTTCTCTGTGTAGCCCTGGCTGTCCTGGAACTCCCTCTGTAGACCAGGCTGGGCTTGGAAGCAGAGATTTGCCCATCTCTGCCACCTGAATGCTGGGATTAAAGGCATGTGCCTCTACTGCCTGACATTCAGCTATGAACATTTTAATGCAAGTGTTTCTGTAGGTGGGTGTACTTGTGTGTTAGCTTTATGATCTACCTTTATTTTTGTTGAGCTAGGGTCTGGTTCTGTAGTCCTGCCTGGCCTGGAACTCACAGATCTGCCTGCCTCTGGTTGAGATAGCTCTTTGAGTGGACAAGGAATGCTTTTGTTTTTCATTTCATTCCTAACTTGGTGATTGAGAGCATTCTGGGAGAGGGTTGAGACAAAGTATTATCTATAATCTAGGCTGCTTTCAAACTGTGTAATCCTCCTGCTCCATCCTCCCAGGCACTAGTTTTGTATGCCTGGTCTAGAGCTTTGTTTCATGTGCTTTTTATAGCCTTTAGTTATCTTTGAAATTTCTCATGTGGTTTGCTCATTTAAAACTTTGGGTTACTTGAGTTATAAGAAAGAGATCTTTGTGTTCTCATCTTTTGCTTCTTCTATTTTAAAATCGGTGTCTTTAAAGTGTATCAGGTTTTAATTTTGATGACGTTCACTTCATTGAATTTTTGGTTATTAGGGAATATTTTCCTGTCTTCTAAACATTTTACTTTTCCTACTGTTTTTTTTTTTTTATGTTGTTACTTTTTCTTTTAAGATACATTTTTGTAACTATAAAGAGTGTGTGCGTGTGTGCGTGTGTGCGTGCGTGCGTGTGTGTGTGTGTGTGTGTGTGTGTGTGTGTATGTGTGTGTTTGTGCATCTGTGCATTTGAATGCAGGCACCTTCAGAGTCCATAGTCTTTGGATCTGTGGAGCTCTAGTTGTGAGCTACATGCTGGGAACCAAACTTGTCCTCTGGAAGAGTAGTAGCAAGTACTTTATTCCAAAATTTTATTGTTTTAACTTCTAAACTTATGTATTCATTTTGAACTAATGTTTTCATCTTGTGGATTAGGATTCATCTTGACACGTGGCTGTCTAGTTTGTTCCTGCACTTTTTTTTTCTAGCAAAGTTTTGTAGTTTTCAATGTGTGGTTTATGTGCTACTGTGAGTGGGATTACATTCTAGTTTAGGGTTGTTCATTTTGTTACTGAAATACTACTGAGTTTTGTATACTGATTTTGTATATGCTTGGCTCAGGGAGTGGCACTATTTAGAAGGTGTGGCCCTCTTGGAGTAGGTGTGTCACTGTGAGTTTGGTCTTTAAGACCCTCATCTTAGCTGTCCGGAACTCAGTCTTCTGCTAGTAGCCTCCAGATGAAGATGTAGAACTCTCAGTTCCTCCTGCATCATGCCTGCCTGGATGCTGCCATACTCCTGCATGGATGATAATGGACTGAACCTCTGAACCTGTAAGCCAGCCCCAATTAAATGTTGTCCTTTATAAGGCTTGCCTTGGTCATGGTGTCTATTCACAACAGTAAAACCCTAACTAAGACAGTGATCTTATCCAGAAAACTCATTTTGTTTATTCTAGTGGTCTTAGGTAAATTTCCTAGGATTTCTATATAACAGAACAGAGAGGAGTATATATTTTGGCTGTATCCGATTCCTGGGGATAGTGTTTGTTCATTTGCCCTCAAGTTTGTTGACAGTTGGTTATTGTGGTGGACTTTAATGAGGATAAGAAAGCTTCCCACTATCACAAGTTGAGGTGTTTTTGTTTGTTTTTTTGTGGATGGGTTTTGATATTGTCAAGTACTTTCTCTCTTTGTTGATCATGGTAGGACTCAATTTTGTGAAGATTTTGTTGAGTTATACACCTGTATTAGTGAAATGTAGGTATTGTTCTTTTGAGTAATGTTTTGTATTACATGCCTGTTGTCAGTTGACAACAGTGTCCAATATTGACCTATTGTAAGTATCCCAGTCTTCGTAGTTTCTGGAAGTTGTGTAGTACAGGTGTTATTCCTCCTTATTCACTTGCAAATTCACCAGTAAAAAATCTGTAAGGTTTTTAATTACTTTCTTTTATGTCTGGAGTTTTATGCATGGCTTTAGGTTTTTATCTGTCATCCCCTCCTTCCTTTCCTATTCCTCCTTTGGTTTTCAAGACAGGGTTTCTCTGTGTAGCTCTGGCTATATTGATAAGGCCAGCCTTGAACTCAGAGATCCACCTGTCTTTGGCTCCCAAGCGCTGGATGAAAGGTATGCTTTAATTCACCACCACGTGTTGCCATTATTACCCTTGGGCTTGGTTTTTTTTTTTTTTTTTTTTTTTTTTTTTCTGAGATAGGGTCTTACTCTGGCTTTCCTGGAACTCACTGTGTAGACTAGGCTTGGATGTGACACTGCCAACTAGCAGATTTTGTGTTTCTTAAGTCAGGTTCAGTAATGGTGATTAGACTCTCCAGATTTGTTCATTTCATCTTCATTGATAATACAGTTAGGGCTGGTTCCGTAGCTCAGCTGGTACAACTAACTCTTGCCATGTCAGCCTGGTGACCTCTGTTGGTTGCCCAGGACCCACATGAAAGTGATGATACTAACTCAAGGGAGTGGTCTTTAGACCTCCACTGGCACCACCCTTCCTCCAGTCCCTTCTTCACACTGTACATGTGCGTGCGTACATACATACATACATACATATGTACATTGTATGCAGACACATGCACAAGCCTGGGAAAGACATACAGAATGTGAGTCTAAGCAAGTATTTCTTCCGTAGTCCAGCTATTTTCATAGGGCTCCTCTGCAGTGTACGTGTGGGTTAGATGGAGCCCTGGATGCACACTTATGTTTAAAGGAGCTCTCTCAGGAAAGGTGTTAGGGCTGATGCCCGCTCTGTTGTGGCTGTTTCAGAAGTCTGGTGTTAGTTCTGTTTGCCCTGCTTACCCACGCATCTGTTCTGTCACCATCATGTTCCTGTTTCCTGGTTTGTTTCTCTCCATGCATATGGTTTTCTGCAGTTCCTAGGTTGTGCCTTAGAAAACTCTTGAGAATCAGAAGTTGCTGAGAGAATTTGCTTGGCTTGTACACAGTCTGCAACCCTCAGGCTTCTTGAACTCGGGTGAGTTGTGCCTGTTCCCGCCTCCACACTCTAGTCCTCTTGACTCCATTCAAGATGAAAAGGCTCTACTGCCTACCATTTAGTGGTTTTGTTTTCTTGTTGAGACAGGGTGTTTCTTTGAAGACCAGGTTGGCTTCAGACTCAGAGATCTACGTGCCTCTGCCTGAGCCTTACTAGGGCTACAGGGATTGAGAGCCACAGTTGGAGACCATTTACTTTTTCTTAGCACATAGAAAGCAGTCTTTTTCTGCCTGAACTTTATCCAGGTTGGACAAAAGCAACACAGAAGCAGGAGTCTCTCCCTGGGCCCTGTCATCTATGAACCTCACTGCCTGGACACATTGTAATGTACTAAGTTTTCTTTAATTTAGGACTACTGAAACGTGTTACGGCATCAGTGAACACTGCAGCATCTATTAAATATTGGAGGTCAGCATGTAGCAAGTGGTTGAGTTTTTACCTAGCATGAATGTCCAAGCTTCAGTCCTCACCACAGGAGGGAGGGGG